CTGTTTGTTCTTTTGGCAATCCATGGAATACTCAATACACTTCTCCAACACCATAGCTTGAAGACTTCATTTTTTCTTCAGTCATCCTTATTCATTGTCCAATATAAGATGATCTAAAGCAGCTTGTAGTTTATCCCATGAAAATGAAAAATATAAAAATTAAACAGCTGGATTATTAAAAAAATATTATCTTAGAAAGAACAGAGTTTGATTTTACAATTAAGATAGAAATCATATTGACATGAGAAGTTAATGTAATTTTAAGTTTACAGAAACATCTATTGATACTGTTAAGTAAATCATGCAATAGTTATAGCATTGCATATAATGCCTGGCAAATATCAGATAAATAATTTTGTTGTAAAACCATGAGCTTACTTACCAATTTTGTGTTAATAGATTATATCTAAGCAAGACATGTTTATTTTTTCCAGAAAGATTGTGAAAATGAAGCTAATTTTTTGGATAAAGGAAAAAATCAATCTATTGCTATTGCTTTGGAAGCAAGAGTGGCATCCACTTCCTAAACAACATGGTCTGGAAACTATGGACTTTGATAAATGTTGATAGTTGTAGAAAGGCTTCGGGCCTTTGTTCATAGGGTCACTATGAATTGTGCTTTAACTCAAGGGCAGTCAACAACAATAACAACATTGATGTTGTTACACATCTTCAAGTTGGTTGTTAATCCCAGTTACTTTTTATAAAACGTAACAAAATATTGTCTGATACTACTTTATCCTCATAATCACTGCTATGTAGGTAGCTATTGGTGTGACCACTGTTCCAAGCTATTACACTGAAGACCTTTTTCTTATCTGACTCACTCTTCATCTTTCCAAGTTCAATATCCTTCTCTAGGGATTAGTTTCTTCTTATACCATGTCCACAGAAATATGAAATGTTGGCTATCTTTCTTAGGAACATTCTAGTTTTTCTTAGGAGATATATTTCATTTCTCTTATAATCTTTGCTGTATTCATGGAGCTCTTGTGGCATAGTTCATAGCAGATTGTGCTGTCAACCCCAAAGCTGTGCATCTCTGACAGTTTAAATCCATTAGCCATCCCGTGGAAGGAAGAGTCTCCTGTTACAATATACAGCCTCAGAAACTCAGTGAAGGGTGCTATGAGTTAGAACTCACTGAAAGTCTAGATTGAGTGATGTTGTTGGTGTTGTTATATGCCATCGAGTTGCTTGCGACTAATAGCGACCCTATGTACAAGAGCCTTAAATGCTGTTCTATCCTGTGCCAACCTAGCCATCTCAAACGCACTCATTCCCACCAGTCCAGTCACAGAATCGATCCATGTCATCAAAGGTCTTCCTCTCCTTCGCTGCCCCTCCACTCTGCCAAGCATGATGTCCCTCTCCAAGGACCAGTCGCTCCTTGCAACATGCCCAGAATACGTCAGATGGAGCTTCAGAATCCTTGACTCCAGGGAACACTCTGGCTTCACCCTCTCCAGGACAAACCTGTTTGTTCTCCTAGCAGTCCGTGGTATATTGAACACTCGTCTCCAGCATCACAGCTCAAAGGCATCAATCAGCTTTCTATTAACCCTAGTCACTGTCCAACTCTGATACATAGCGTGTAATTGTGAAGACTATAGCCTGGATCAGACACACCTTAGTCTCTAGCCTGATGTCATTGCTCTTCAGTACTCTTGAGAGGTCCCTCAAAGCTGACTTTCCCAATGCAATTCATCTCTTGATATTCTGGCTACTGTAACCAAGATTTTTACTGTGGAGCCAAGTAAATGAAAACTGTTAACTATCTCAATCTCTTCACCATCCTTACTGATGCTGCCAATTGGTCCAATGGTGAGAATCTGTTTTCTTGATGTTGAGCTTCAATCCATATAGGAGGTTGCTATCCTTGACCTTATGCAGCAAGCATTTCAGGTCCTCTTCAGTTTCAGCAAGCAGGGTTGTGTCACCTGCATAATGCAGGTTGTGGATGACTCTTCCACCAATCCTGATGCCACATTCCTCCTCATACAGCCCAACATCTTGGATGATCTGTTCTACATACAGATTGAAAAGATATGGAGACAGAATACATCCCTGATGGACCCCTTCTTGATTTTGAACTATGTAGTGTCTCCTTGCTATGTTCTGACAACTCCCTCTTGGTCCAAGTACAGGTTTTGCATTAGCACAATCAAATGTTCTAGAATTCCCATTCTTCTCAGAGTCAGCCACAGCTTGTTGTGATCCAGACAGTCTAAAGCCTTTGCATAGTCAATGAAGCACAGATAGTCATTCTTCTGGTATTTTCTGCTTTCTGCCAAGGTCCATCTAACATTAGCTAAAATATCCCTAGTACCACATCCTCTTCTAAATCCAGGCTGTACACTGGCAGTTCTCTGTGGACATATTGTTCCAAACGTTTTTGGATAATTTTCAACAGAATCTTGCTTGCATATGGTATTAATGATATTGTTCAATAATTTCCACACTCCTTTGGGTCACCTTTCTTTGGAATGGGAACAAACAGCTGTCTTTTCCAGTCAGTGGGCCAGCTGGCTGTCCTCCAGATTTCCTGGCACAACTTAGCACATCCAGAGCAGTGTCTGTCTGTTGAAATATGTCAATTGGTATGCCATCAACTCCTGGAGCCTTGTTTTTTGCCAATTCCTTTAGAGCAATTTGAACTTCCTCCTTCATCACCATAAGCTCCTGCTCATATGTTATTTCATGAAATTCCTCTGTGTCAGCCAATTCCTTCTGATACAGTGATTCTGCGTATTCCTTCCATCTTCTCTTGATATTTCCTGGATCATTTAATATACTGCCCAAAGTATCCTTAAGTATTGCCACCCGTGGCTTGAATTGTTTTTCAGCTCCTTCAGCTAGTTCAGCCCTTTTGATTTTCTGACTCCAGCTCTCTGCACATTTCATTATAGTATCTTGCTTTGTCATCCCAGGCTGCCTTTTGAAATTTTCTGTTCAGCTCTTTGATTTCTTGGTTTCTTCCTTTAGCTTTGGCTTCTCGGAGCTCTAATGCAATACTCAGAGTCTCATCTGACATCCATCTTGGTCTTTTCTTCTTTTTCATCCTTTGTAATGATCTTTTGCATTCTTCATGGATGATTTTCTTGATATCCTCCCAGAGCTCATTTGGTCTATGCTCATTGGTGATCAAGGCTTCAAATCTGTTCCTGAGATGATTTTGAAGTTCAAGTGGGATAGACTTAAGATCAAATTTTGGTTCCCATGGACTTGATTTAATTTTCCTCAACTTCAGCTTGAACTTTCATATGAGTAGTTGGTGGTCTGTCCCACAATCAGCACCCGGCTTAGTTTTCACTGCTGATATTGTGCTTCTCCACCAAGTCTTTCCACAAATGGAATCTATTTGTTTCCTATGCACATCATCAGGTGAAATCCATGTGTATAGCCTGTGTTTATGTTTTATTATCAATGTTTTTCCTATTTAGGGCTGATTTTGTTTTATTGTTATTGCTATTATTTGTCATTGAGTTAGAACTTACTCATAGCTAGCACTTAGTGGGTTTTCAGAGGCAATTAAATGCATGAGAGAAAAGTGCCCATATTTCTCCTGTAAAACAGCTGTTAGATTTGAACTAGCATACTTTTGGATTGGTGATAGAACTTCTTACCCACTAGACCATCATGGCTTCTGTTTTGTTAGTCAAAATCGCTTCAAATTACTAGTCAGTGCCTACTATGTACAGTCCGATGAGCTGAAATGTGTTAATGATGAGATACAGGCCACCAGGAAATTATCCTCTCATTTAAACTCAGGCTAACTTCATACTTAATGTAAGCATAAAAAGGAAGTGAGCAGACCTGAACCCTCTGTGCAACCACTTCAGCCAAATTACACTAAGAGATTTTTAGTCACTTAGTTTATTTATTTCTACTGACATTAACAATTACAAAATGTTGAATTGGAGCACCATTTTCAACACTGCAGTTCATTCTGAAATAATTTTGATGCATACTGAAAAGTTATATAGTACGAAGAGTTCTCATATAACCTTCACTAACTCTGTAGTCTTAAAACTTTACATAATTATGATTGCTGTTGTTGTTGTTAGGTTCTCTCAAGTCGTAGACGACTCATAGCAACCCTATGAAAGAAAGGCCCAAGCACTGTTCATACATAGAGTTTCCGGAGGCAAGCCATTTCGGAAGTGGATCCCGCTCCTGCTTCCAGGCTTGTTTTAGTCGAGAAGCTCCAGCCAACACTGTCCACCATGGGTATCCATTACCATGCTTGGCACATCAGTGTCCCAGTGTTCAGCATCACAGCAACCATGAGTTACCTCTGTACAGCAATGCACAGACCAGTGCTATACCACCTACAAGAATGTTTGACAGGAAAACAATTTGAAGCTGGCCTGAGGACTGCAGATTAAAAACATCGACCTTCGGCTTGGTAGCATGACTTTCTTTCCACTAGGCCAACTTAGCTCTCTCTCTCTGTCATTGTTGTTGTGGTTGTTACATGTCATTGAGTCATAGACAACTCATAGCGACCCTAACAACATAATTATGATCTATTTATAAGAATTAAGAAACACTGGTACAATGTTGTTATGCAAAATAAACTATAGAATTTATTGAATATCCTTTTACTAATATAATTTCCCTATTCTTAGATACTAAACTTAATGTAGTAGAAACATTTTGACCAGAAATAGGAAAGAACAGATACTTACATATCTAATGCATTTAAACTAGTTTGAGTAGTGTATATTGATTTTTCACATGAAATAAAATAGTCTATATATAAGATCCAATATATCTTTGAGATATACGAAGATAAAATGTCCACTTCTTATAAAGACTATAATTTATTTGGAAATTAAATCTGTTAAGAAATAATAGGTGCTTGAAGGGAGCAGTCACAATAATAGTTGAAGAAAGACCATGAAAATAATGAAAAAAAACTACTGTTTTTTTTTTTCATTTCTAGCAACTAGAAACATCTTTAGAATTATTGTTGAAAGGCTCTTTCTCTCCCCTAGGAGTGGATATGACAGCTCTACGCCAGATGAAGCTTCAGAGGCCAATGAGTATGTTAACAGATGTCAAACACTTCTTATCATCTGGAGGAAATGTTAACGAGAAAAATGATGAAGGAGTAACACTGGTAAGTTGATATATTTAATTGAAGAAATTCTGTATATATATATATATATATAATTGTTGACTTTCTATGGGTGAATTTATATACAGGATTTTCTTTTTCTCATTGCATGTTTATATGTATTCCAGGATTTCTAAAGTGAATGTCTATTACAATTAAAATCAGGAAAAAAATTGTTTTACAAAATTCAAAGCTGATTAGAACTATATTAAACACTCCACCTCCCCAAATATATCAACTTCTCTATACTGTGATTTATAGTACTATGCAAAAATCTTCTATTCTCTACATTGATAAAATTATCCTACATGTTGTAAAGGTTAAACCATTTAATGTTACTGAGACAGAATTAAAAATGGGATACATTGAATTAATCTCTTGTGAGATACACAAAAGATTAAAGGGAGAGTAGAGACCATTCTATAAGAAAGGAGAGACGGGGGGAAAGTATGTGCTTTAAACTTAGGGGTTTTGTGCTGAAAACCAACAAGATCCAGGGAATATGAAAAAAAAATATATATATATAGTCAAATAAAATGCTGGGCTCACAGATATTGAAATGATAGAAAGAGTTTACTACAAAACTGACAGAAAGGAAAAGTCTTTTCTACAACTAGTTATCTGAATTCATACTTCTAGCCTCCTAAATAAATTATCTGAACTAAAGGCATCCACTAGTGGTATTTTCTTTATAGTAACACTAGATAAATTAGGCAAATATTCATTCTGTTCTTTAATAAACATGAATTACATATGTAAGCATAATTGTTGTTATTGTTATATGCCATCAAGTCGCCTCATAGTGACCCTCAAAGCACAACTGCTGTGAAGCCTACCTGTTTTGAGCCAATCTCACTGACTCCAATACACCTACCTTTATTGTCCCAGTTACTGTATCAATCCATCTCATCAAGGGTCTTCCTCTCTTGCACTCTCTTATACCTCTACCCTTTTGAGCATGATATCCTTCTCTGAGGACCAGTCCTTCCTGGCCCAAAGTCTGTGAAATGGAGTTTCAAAATCCTATTCTCCAAGGAGAAATTTGGTTTCACCTTTTCCAAGACAGAAATCCCATAGAAAAGTGAAAAATATTTGATAATGACACACCTGAAAAGGGACCCTTATCTAAAATTTATAGAATATTTCAGCATTTCAACCAAAAAAACCCAATCCCATTACAAAAGGAGCTGAAGAAAAGCTTTTTACCAAAGTGTATATTCAGATGGCCAATAAACACATGAAGAAATGTTTTTTTTTAAAAAAATATTTTTTTAATTTTAATGGACAGTCACAGAGATTTTGGATTTTCATTCATTCATTATTGCACTTTTTTCTTTATCCCCTTCCCACCAGTTCGATCCTCTCTTTGAAAAGCAAAAGATAAACTTCTTCATTGGTATGCAATGCCCCCAACCGTGACCCTGCCCCCCTACCCCAAATGCATTCCACTATGCAACCTTAATTCTGGATTCTTTGGATAATCATAATATGCTATCATATATCATTTTTAAACTGTTCTCTCCCTCATCTGTTTCAATTCAGTAAACATAATCTATCCAGTTTTTCTGAAGGGTATACGCCAGGGATGTGTCCTATCTCCATACCTTTACAACCTGTATGCAGAGC